TCGATCCCCAACCAGAGAAGGTCGATTTTAGGCCTTTCTATTTTTCATAGGTTCGCGTCACGTTTTCACACAAAAATATTATTTCTAGCTTCTATTTTATTTCTTTAAAAAGTAATTTTAACGCGAATTTTAGTGAAGGTTCGGATCTGTCCAGAGCCTCACATCTCCATCTTTCATTTTCCGTTGTAGTATCTCTTTCTCCTCTACTGAAGTGCCACAATTCTTTAATTTTTCTCGTTACGTTAGAGCAGTGTTGATCTTTGTCATTTCTTAAAATACTGTATATGTCTGGAGCTCTTTTGAAAACTATTTTGAAGCTTTTTAAGTCTGCTACTTGTTTGATAACATTCTTAATATGCTTATTATAAGTAAACTTGGCCATACTACTTTTAAATTGAATATCAAACTCAGCTTCTTTTAAAACATTTAACATCTTATAACGATTTATTATAGTTATTTTGTATATTGATTGGTTAATTTATTCTAAGTTTTAATTTTGAATTTGTAATGTTTGAAAGTTCCATTTTAACACAATTTTCAAATTTGTTCGATAGCCTGTCATCTGATGATGGCCTATTCCATTAGGTTGAAAACGTTTGTGATTTAATAAATATTCTCAGCATTATAAGGTGTTAAATGTTTTATTAAACATACTATTTTTGCTTTTTTAAGGTGACCAACTTTTTTATAATGAAAAGGAAGACACTAATAAATTGAAGGAAAAAATATTGTAAACAAAAAACATTTTATTCATTGCAACAATAATATACTATAATAATCTCTACTGCATGCATAGGTGCCATGTCATGTTTTGATAAGAAGTAAATAAAGCCATTTGTGCACGCTCTCTCTCAAGGTCTCCCATACGAAGAGCATGCATCTCATAATTGCATCTCATCGCACTGTACAGAGCCTTGATGAATTGTCATGTTAAATTCAAACATGTCACATCACATCACACAACGGATCGGTTCGGAATTGATTGAATATGGAGATTTATAGATTAATCTTCAAATATCAAAAAGGAGGACATGTAGGAGAACACTTTTGGAGGGAGGACAGAACTTACAAAAGGAGGACAATTGGTCACCATAGCTTTTCTTTCTTTTTTCTGCTTTCTTCATTCCTTGTAATTAACCCTTTTATTGTTCTCGCTGTATATCGCAATATTGTAGCTGTTATTTTGATTCATAGCTATTGTTTTGTTTCTGTTTAGTTTTTTGTCTGTCAATAGCAATACAAGCATGCTCTTCTTAGTGCTCAAAAAGTATAGTTTATATTTATATGAATCATTTGAGCCAACCAGAATGTACAATGGGCTGTATGTAGGTTTTACATACACCCCTGTAATAATGCTACCTCTCTTGTACTCATGTCTATGTTCAAAAACCTTGTGGATCCTTGTGGAACTTTTGTTCTAGTCTTAGAACAAAGAAGTTCCACAATCCATCTTTGTTGTTTCTGTTAACTATATGCACAAACTAATGAATTTTCTTGCTGATTTCCAAATTATGCAAACATTGTCTATGTATTTTTTGTAAAAATTCAATTAAGAACATCTCTCTCTAATTTGTGTAAAACAAGATCACACAACAATTCAGACATTGGATTTCCCATGAGGACACCTTTCTTTTGTATGCTTGTTTCAACAACAGAAGTACTATTCATATCATACTAGATTGGTTAATTCTATCACATCATTGGTATAATTACCTAACTCTGGTCTTTTGAGGAATAAAAATTAAAAGGTATGAAGAAAGCAGAAAAAAGCATATGTAGCATCACCAAGTTTACTTACAATAAACATATCAAGAATGTTATCAAACAAGTAGTAAACTTAAAAGGCTCCAAAATGGTTTTATAAACAGTTCCAAATGTATAGCATTTTAAGAAATGACAAAGATAAACTAAGAAAAAAAGAAAAGATAGGCATATAAAAAATACTGTTTGAGAACTGGTAATTGGGAATAAAAAAGACTATATTGGCATCACGAAGAGGAACCTAGAAGAGCATAAATATACCATTGAAAAAGGACAATGTAACACCATATTGTCCGAGATGGCACAACTAGAAGACTCTACAGTCAAATGGAGTGAGGCTAATATCATTAGAGCACTATGTTCCCCCATACTGACAACCAATGAGGAAAAAATTGAAATTTATAAAAGCATATTAATTGATTGTTGCATTAATGCCAGAGATGCAGAAGGGTTACCTTTGTCATGGAAATTCAACATAAAAAATTGCAATATAGAAACTCATTTATTGTATATAGAAAGGTGGATTCAAACAATATCTTTTATTTATTTACTTTTATTTGTTACTTATTTATATTTTATTTATTTTGTTTTATTTTTTAAATTATGTGTTCAAGCATTCCATCATGAAATGTTCCATTTAAAAGACGTTCAGATGCGATATTACACCTGATGATGACTTATAGAATTTAGGTTGAAAATGTATGTGATGATATTAATATAAATAAATATTTCTTAGCAAGCATAAGATGGTTACAAAAATTTTTTAATTATTTCTCACTACTGAGTCTGATTTTGATTATATACAACATATCAATATATTTTAAATAAAAGAATTTTATTAAATTTTTTGAAGATTATATACATTTTGTTTTAAAAATATTTTTATCACAAAATTTCAAAAAATTCAATTAATATAATAAAATAAAAATTTAATTATTTGCACAAAATATGTACAGATGTAAATCTACTACTACAATATTTATTTTGTGACTTTGCCTGTGCAGAAATGTGCGTAATTTCATATGAGTTGTGTGTGCTAGTGACCTTCTCCTCTAGACTTGTAATTGGTGATGGGTTCATTCAAATAAAAAAAAATTGATTATTCAAAATATCTGTAATGATTTTAAAATTATTTGAATGAATCATTTGTCCCTTTTGGACAAATGATTCATTCAAGTAATTTTAAATTTAAAATAAAGAGGAAATTGACAAAACAGTTACAAAACTTTGTCTACAATTAAAGTTTCTTGCCAAAAATATATTTTTGATCCTAAACGAGATAATTTTGTTCATTTTAATTAAAGAAGATAAATTTAATTCCAGTTGTGAAACATTGCACTACACAGTTGGGCAGTTTCCTATCACATCAAATCAATGTAATCAAATAATGATCAAATCAATGAGTAATTTAGATTGTGTCTTGATTTTTTCCTGTGGTAGACAATTGAAAAGCTTTGGTTTTAGGAACATTTTTATTTAATTTTATAAATTAAAGTGATTATTTAAATACAATTAAAAATAATGTATTTAAATTTATGAATTACTGTAATAATGAAATTTTAAAAATAGTTTGTAGACACTGTAGTCAAAAATGTTCATATTTTTATATTTCAATGTGGAAAATGCAAAATGATTACATCATCATTTTAGTATTAAATATCTGGGAAATTGCAAGAATTTAGTTGAAAGATGGAATTAAAAAATTCATTCAAAATGAATCCATCACTAATGGTAACTCTCAATGCTTATTTAAAAGTTAAACAATTATTATTTTTCTAAAAGTTACTAATTATATATATTATTAAATTACCATTATTGGAACTTATATAAAAATAAATCTATTACTCTAAGTTATGTGATGCAATATATACAACTTCAATAAACTCACTTTACTAATTAATACATTATAAAATCTAATTTTCAGTTATCAGAGTTTACAGAGTTTTATGACTTCTGATATATTAAATATAATAAACATCTTTAAATGAAAATATATATCTCAACATTTGTTTTTTTATTTCCCTGATATTATTATTTATTAATCAAAGAGATTTAATTTTATTTTATAACGTGTGTTTTTTTTAATAATACCAACAATTTTCAGAAAAATAAAATTATTGTCATCACATATGTGTGAAACATACAATGAAATCTTGATTCATTGTTTTCGTCAGGAGATCCAAGAGAACTACGGACATATAAAAACAATAGATGTAGGGACCTATATAAAATAAACAAACAAATAAAATAGTTGCATTTGCAAATTGTGATTGACTAAATGCACACAACTAAACATACACAAATGATATTAACAAGTCTAATCCACATTACTTTTTTAAAAAAGCCAATCTTCATTTGTTTAGTAGCACTTTCCTTTTCAAACAGAATCGAACAATAAACTTCCAATATTCATAATGTTTGCTTGATCCCTTTCAATGATAATGTGAAAATACAAAAATGTTCTTATGAGATTGAATGCACTTCAGTAAAACTCCGCACTGGCTCAGGCTCAGCTTCATCATCACCAACTTTCATTCCCTTTCCACTCATTGTCTGATGGGCAAGATGTGTGCATAGTCACACAGCTAACTGTACACACTCTAGACTACTACTTGCTTTACCACATTCCAAAAACATGTCTGCTGTTACTTTTATCAATATGTATTAAGCAACACCAAAAACAAACATTTTTATGAAAAAGCAACACCAAATACATAAATATTGTTGTATTTATGTATTTGGTGTTGCTTTTACTTAAAAATGGTTTGTTCAGAATTAATGTTCTTCAGAACTAAAAATACTGACCAATAGAGCATAAATCAAGAAACAATTAATATGAATTTAATTTCCATAGTTTAAATAGAATTTGCTCAGGTCTAGAATTTGAACAATATTTCTGGGAAAGGAGTACATCTGGAAATGATAGATCAAGGTTCATTGTGTGTATCAAAATTGACAAATCTTTTAACAAATATTAGAATGATATTTTTAATGGTTGTTCTGAGCTTTTATAAAAAAATAATTTTAATCATTTATATATGTTACAGTTAAAACCCGATTTTAGTTAAAACCCGTTTTAACTAGTTAAAACTAGTTTTAACTAAAATCAAAACATGTACGGCAGTAAATTCTAGTTATAAGCAGTAAATTCTAGTTTTAACAAAGGCATCCAGTTAAAACTAGTTTTAACTAGTTAAAACGGGTTTTAACTAAAATCGGGTTTTAACTGTAACATATATAAGGTTGAGAATTACACTAAAATAATTTAACAACATAAAATTGAAAAATAAATAAAAATACAATTATGTGTAATGCAAGAAAGGCACAATGGCATATGAATAAGACATATGTATGTACAGTACAGATAAATGATAATGAATGAATATTGACAATATAAGCTTGCTTATATATATTTTTGAAAATGCTTTGATTCCTTTCTTATGTACATCATTTAGTAATAAATAAATCATTCCATGGAGAATTTTGTCATTAAATAATTCTTTGTAGTTTTTTAAAATTCATAACAGAGTTGAAAATGGTATTGGAATGGAAGAAAACACAGGATATCCAAGTGGTGGATTGGCTGCCTGGACTGTGAGGTTGCGCAATGTTACTGGTTCTGCTTGAATACTATATCTTTCATCATCGTCATTAGTTAAATATAATAATTCAATGCATAAACTACTCCAAATGCTTTGAACAAGAGCAGAATTTAAACTACCAATAAAAATGGGTTGATCTTCCAAAGAAAGCAGATGACTAGTGTAAAGATCCTATATTGTGTTATAAATTTTTATATAAATAATTTAATTTTTAAATAATAATTACGGAAATAAATAAGAATTACCTGAACAAGATCATAACTAATAGAAAATAAATAAGGACAATTTCTAAGAACTGCATCTTTCCAAGCCTGATCTCCATCAATTCCAATGTGCCAATAATCGTCATACTCTTGCAGATATTCATAAAATTCTTCATCACTAGTTATGGGTCCTATCAATGTTTGGTCTAAAGACAACTTTACTGAATACCTAACAGAAAAATAAATATCTTAATATTTTATTCTGATAAACCAAATAACTTATAATTAAAATATAATATACCTATAAGAAGTTAATACAATTATATATAAATCTTGACAGTTCTCTAACCATTCTTGTAAAGGTGATGTTGGTAATGTTCCAAGAAACAGTTTACAGACATCATCAGGTCCATGTACAGAGAAAATATCATAATGTAATGCATGGTAACAGTAAGTGATTATTTTTTCATATATTTTTGGAATATTAACATCATCTAATAGTTCATTAACATTGAGCTCTTTTATACTTTCAGCTAATATCTTTACTGTTTTATGAAACCAATCAATAGAAAAATTTACTTCTTTTTCATGATAAAGATATACATTTGAAGGATATTTCATCCAATCTTTTGGAGGAATCAAGGGAGAAGAAGAGTAATACATAACATCATTCCATTTCTTTTTTTCATCAACATTAACATCTTTTGTTGAACTAAGATTAATTTCCTGAAGACATCCAGGAATTGTTATTTGCTGGTGTTTTGGCATGTCTTGATTTGAATTTTTCATTTGAACATTTTCTATTTTTGCATATGTAACAGGATTACTTTCTATAGGATCATCATCATCAGGCCATGATGAAACTGGGGAAGGGGAACGCACAATTTCTGCCCATTTTTCATTGTTTCTGTGTATATTTTCAATAGGTTGAATTTGAAATTCTGAAAAACTTTTAAAACTTTCCCTTGATAAAGGTCTATTAACTCCATTTGGATTTATATTACATTCAGATGAATATGGTTGTTGAATTTTTCTCTTGATACCTGAAACTGGTTTATCAATTTTAGACTGAGATTTATATTTTTTTGAAATGATGTGTTTTACTAACATCCAAGTAAGTATCTTTGGAAATTCTTCTTTTATTAAATTTAAAGTATCTTTACTATGTATAATTCCAGTTAATACATTCCTGGCATCAGAATACGTCTTTGCTATTACTACATCACATGGTACCAAAGTATTGAATATATGTGGGTTTTGAAGTTTTCCATCATCATCATCTCTTTTAAAAGACTGTTCAAATATTTCATCAATCTGTGATGCTTCCAGAGTATGGCAAGAAGTTTCTTGTAATTCCAATCCTTTTATACTAGTTTTACAGTAATTAAATCCTCTTTCTAGTATATGAATCCATAGAAGTCTATCTTGAAATCGTGCCAAGAAAAAATCTCCATTACTAACAAAACCTGTAATAACATTTTTAAACTTTCAATTAATTTATGTTTTAATTTAAATTCTTATTAAAAGTAATAATAATTTATTATTTTTATTAAAGAAAATAAAATATAATTTAAAAACTTTATAAATTATTACAATATTCATAGTACAAAATACTTATAGCATTCTGAACTGCTTGATATTACAAAAGGAGGACACAAAGACAATGTGGAGACCTTATCCAATGCATGGTGACTGTTATAGTATTGAACTCTCATATCCAGTGGTGGATCCTGATAAGCATTGTGAAACTGGATTATCCCCAAAGAAAAATAAAGTCATAAAAATAATGTCTCTATTTTTATTTCATAGTAATTATATAAATTATTATGCACAATTAAAATGAATATTTATTAACTGAAACCAGCACCAATCAAAACAGTATACAAAATAAAAGTGACTATTAGGCCAAACATCATCCTGTGATAGTATTGTTAAACAGTGCAATGACATCGCCCACTCAGAGAACAGTCAATCTCATTTACTTCTCATGATTCAATGAAATGTGTAAAGTACTATATTATTTTTCCGACTTTCCAACGATTATCGACACTACTGTGTGCCGGAAATAGCCGTTCCCTAACGGGTACTTTACGCGGATTCGCGTTAGTGTGCCAGGCCTGGACTTTAAGCGTGCACCGAATTAAATAACGACAAAGTTTGTCAATAACAAAATCAAATATTTAATTAAACTTCTATTAATAAATTCTATACAGTATTTAGTAAAAATCAAACAATAATTTATTCAATGAAACTCAACAAGAATCAATCCGACAAACTCAAATCAATCTATTTCTAACTTAATTCTATTCCCCTTTGGAATTCGACAAAATCAAAGAATTAACTTATAAACAATAATTCTTATAAATTAAAGATCCTAATCGTCACCTCAATATACTAGGAACCTATTTCCTCAAACTCTCAAGACTTTCTATAATCGTCGATCCACAAATCGAATAACTTCAAAATCCTATCGGACACCTCTCTCGTTCACTGCTACGAAGCTCACCAAAGCTCGTTGCTATCAGGAATTCACCTCGTTCGTTTTCACTTGAGTTAGAGGCTTTATAGTGTGAGGTGACGTCACAATTCTGAATGAGCTCACTCTCCTCATTTACATACTTATCTGTAACATTAAATTTTTCTTGTTTATCTGGCAGATTATTTTCCGACAATACTTCGCTAACCTTTTACATTATTCTTTTTAACAATTATCGGGATGCTTTATTCTTTTAAGGTTTAGCGATTCCTAACTGGGTTGTGGGGTCTTCCCCCCCTTTTTCTCGGTGCGGACTTACTTTTTTCCGCTTGGGAAGCGCAAGTGTGCGCGAGTTTTTCTACGGCGCTTTTCTTTCGTCGGTGAGTTGGTTTTTCTTCTATTTTTAAGTTACTAAGGTGAATGGTGAGGAAACCTTCGTCTTAACTAAACATAAGCCCCAAACAAAATATAATGAAAGCAAAATAAAAATAAAGCTCAGACTTGGTTCCTTACAAATGCTTGAGATGGAACAGCACTGTTTAATAGTGCTGTTACAATGTGGCTGCACGGCAGGAATTAGTGACTGGTTCAGACAAAGGTGCAGAGTACTCCTTGATCTGTAAATGTTAATATGAAAAAGACAAAACTTTCTAATCTTGAATTAATTTAGTTTAATTAAATTTAAAAATATATACAGTAGAGTCTCCATAATCTGACATATATTGGACCAGTGGGTTTCAGATTACATCAGATTGTTAGATTACTGGATTTTGTATGTACCAGAACAGTACATACTGTATAGTAAAAAAAAAAAAGCACACTTTGGTTTACAGGTTAGTTTATCATATTAATCACGATTGTGACTGTTTTGCTGACTGTACTTGCAACAAACAACTAGCAACTTACAGTATACACATACATCAGTCTCTCTCTGTCTCATACATCAACAAGTGATTATATGAAAATTTCATGTGTGCAACCCTGTGGAGTGTCAGATTATTGGATGTATCAGACTGGCAAGTGATGGACTATAGAGACTCTAGTGTATTTTGTGTTTACAATGTATACTTTGTTATGTAAAACAGAAGTTGTTACTCAATGTCCAACATTAGACAGCAACGAGCTGCCTTTGTTCATATTTCATAATTGTTTAATAACTGTTTTTATAAATGTAACAGAAAATCTAGAACAGTAGTACTGTCCCCCCTGGGGCAGTGAGTAAATCTAGGGGGTGAAAAGAAGAAAGGGGCAGCATGGGGTGCTGGAAACAGGGTCTTGACTGGTAAGTGACCATAGGCAAGGATCTGGGTCACTGACAACCTTTCCCTTTCAGCCATTAAAATGGATAGGAATAAACATTGTATTTAATGGTTTCCATATGTAGAGAACAATGTATGGTAAGGACATAAAGTGTGAGGTTCATAGAAAAGCTTTTCTAAGACTTTCCAAGCCTTTCTCACAGAAAGGAAAACAGGTTGGAGTGTTGGAGTATGTTTGGGGGCATTGGGATTTTGTTTATAGAATGAAGGGGGTGGTGGCTTGAAAAAGTTTGAAAATCACTGATCTAGATTCCTAAAATTTGTTTTTGCATTGGATTGGAACATGGAAATTTTATGTTTATTCTGATGTAAATTACCAGATAATAAAGTTTATTTCTTTAGTTTTAAATTATAATTAAGTTGAAATATAATAACAAAAGCTGAAAAAAGAATCAATAAATATATGAAATTGCTCAAGAAATGAACTGGTTGTGAGAAATTGGATAAAGTACTTTGTAATGTGTTTATAATCTTCTCATCCACATGTCACCACATACACTCAATGTTGTTGAGCCAGAGTTGCCAGTGTTAGATGTTTTTGGACAGAGTCAAAATTGGTAAAATTCTTTTGACTCCAGTGACTCTGACCTTGAAGTTTACTATCAATAAAATGTGAAGTAAGAAAAATACTTTTCAATTAATTAGTATTTAAAGAAATTTCTTAGAAAATGGACATTTCGATAAATTTAGATTTCAAAATGATATTAACCCATAAAGGCCATTTAATAGCAAAATATTATGCATATCTCAAGTGACATGCTGTACACTTTCAGAAAATGTTTTTATTAATTTAAGGCCCACCAGTGGCCAAGTGAATAAAATCACTGAACACTTACTTGTAGTTTTAGTCATGGGATCGTGCCTGGAAAGTAGATGCTTACGGTATTGCTTTGAAGTGCCAAGCTTATCTTTACCAAAGAGAAGCTCCCAATAAAAAAGTCTGAACTTTCATTTTGAGTGCCAAAATTTTTATTCAAAAGTTTTTACATCTCAGATGTTTTACTTCAGACGTCAATTGTTGTTTTGACAAATTTATTTTTTCACTGCCCTTCTATTAGTTTTGAGTTATTTATGACTATTATGGCTTCGATAACATAATTTAGTCTTAAAATACTCAATAAAAAAAAAAAAAGCAGTGACCCAAAAAAACCAAGATCAGAACCACTATTAGTTTGTTGCTGTTAGATTCTAACTGCAACAAACTAAAAGAGGAAGAGAAAACTGCAATATATAATAGGATTGCTTCAGCTTATTATTTACTGGTTTAAGTCGTCAGAGTTGATTGTACCCGTCAGTTTAAGATGATTGATTTTTTTTCCAAATTTCATATTTTAAAATTTTACTGTATACTTCAGTTTTGTCAACCATCAGTAGGAAATTATTGTATTTACTCGCATATAAGACAAGGTGTGACTCTAAAGATCAAAATAAAGAAAATCAGATTTATTAATATAACTCTAATTTTATTTTGTTTAATCACAAATAAAATATCAAATGAACTTAATGAACACATTGTCTTGCAAAAATTACTGGCATTTTAAACTTTAAGGAAAAATCTTGTAAAATTGACAACATAATTTGTTCATGTAAAGCTGGACAATTGGGAACCTTTTTTGCCAATTGTTAACAGTCAAATCCACTCTCTGTCGATTACATTTATGAGTTTCTCTGATTTTTGATTTCTGAAAAATCATCTATTTTCACATGGAAATGGATTAAAACTTATATCAGGCTCACTCCCATGTGATTTTGGAATTTAAATTTGGAATTCAATTCAAAAGCTTTGCTTTTCCTATTGATATTAATCTTTACTCCTGTCAATACACAAGAATGATTCAAATGACTTAGATAAAATACTTATGTTTTTAAACACAAGAAGGTGAGCATCTGGTAAAAAATGCAAATACAGTAGAGCCCTGCTAGTCTAAATACTGCTAATCTGAACATGTTTCGGTCAGCGGAGAGGAAATTTTCTCTAACAAAAGGTCCACTGAAGGGTGTTCCCCTTTCTCTTTCCTGAGTGAACCATGTAAAGAAGGCTTCATCAAGCTTGTCAGACGTTGGAGGCCTTGCTGCTTGTTGATTTTCAACTGATTTTTCTGAAGTAGAGGAACAAAACTGTTCGATCTTTGCGCAGTTATTTTTCAGTTGGTTATTGTGGCCTTGCTACTCCAAACTCTACTGCCAATTTCGTTGTACTTTTACCCTTGTCCTGCCTTTTCAAAATGTCCAGCTTATCTTTCAACATACACATTGTGTTTTTCCATTTTGTGGCCATTGTAGCAGCAGACTAAACTAAACTAAAATAATGTAGAACAAAAAGCACATTCAACATCCACAATTAAGCATGATAACTAACATACTAACATCAGTCAACTGATTGGAATCCTGGACTGTGTATTAAAAACAACATTTTTAACATTTAAAATAATTTTAAGGTAAACAATGAAGGGTCGGGCACTGTATTGTTTATTAAAATAAAAATATTTGTTATTAATCAAAAATTTGTTCTAGTGGATGGTGATTGTTCAGTCAAGTACTGAGGTACCTCTGTATTTGATAACGTGATTTTGATTTATGCAGTAGCATTGAGGGATTAATTAACATTAACAGTATTAATCAAGGGATACTTGTATTTTATAAAAATACAATAATTGGAGGGTTTTGACTTAATTGAAATTCCGTGAAAACTGAAAGAAACCTGAATTGTAGTTTTATTTTAAAATTCTTTTTAATTGATGGTGTTGGATCTACATAAACCAGACCGGTTTTACTGCTTGCTTCTGCATTATTTCAATTATTCAGCTAATCTGAAAATCTGCTAATCTGAACAGGGCTCAGTCCCAATTAATCTGGACTAGCAGGACTCTACTGTACATGGTTCACAAAATTATTTGCAAAAACACAAAGAATCCTTTGCTCACGCATATAGGATGACCTAGGTTTTTGAAGCAGTGAAAAATGAATAAAAACCTCATCTTATATGCAAGTAAATACGGTAACTATTCCTGTTGCAGCCAGAGTGGGAAAAACACTATTTTATGGACCAATTTATTACATCATTCATCAAATTATTATTTTTTGCATTTTATTGTATTTAAGTTTATTTCTTGAAAATAAATAAATTTAAATCAATATTTCATAATTAACTAATGAAATTGGAATTGTTTTGGCCATTAAGATGTAGTGTGTTTCTTTATGTACTCAAAAGTTTTTCCATGGTAAATTTATTATATCTATTTTTTGATTCTCACCATCAATTATAGTATGACCTTTTACAGGGTAATTTTACATAAAAATATTTGGATACTCAGTAGTATCTCTCTTATAAAAGGAATCATAGTGTGACATTTTAAAAAAGGGTAAGGTTGGAATCTGAGTTGAAGTTGCACATTGCAAATTTGCCAGAGTTGGAGTTGGATTTTTTTTTTACCAACTCCATCACACTACATAAAAATCTTTAGAAACATTAGACCTTTATAGCATTATATACTGTACATTACACTATAGAAAGCAATAATATTAAATACTTGCCACTTAATCTGCAACTTTTAAATATAAATACATTATATTTTGTACTCTTAATATAATGTATATGTAACAGTTGTTTCAGTACATGTTGAGTTTAATCTGGCTTAGTGCATGAAATCAGTATCAAATAAGTATTGTATTTACACCATAATAATAAACTATAAGAGAAATCAGTATATTGATATTATTTGAATATGCTACGGTGTCTGGAAATTTATGAATATTTTCAATAAACACTAATTATTAATTATATTTTTTTTTTTTTACCTAAGCTTCCTCTAGAAAATGCTACTTGTAACTTGTCTTTTAGAGATGATACCATTTGTTGATAATATACATTATCCACTGAATGACTTGGAGTTATTCCTACCTAAATGTGCCATAGAAATATATATATGACATTGCCATAAATAACAATTTTTTTAGAATTTATTAAATAAATATTAATGATAATTAAAATTTAATTTAGTGATTTTTATATAAGAATTACAAGAAGAAAAAATATAAAAAACTTTATATAAATTTATTGATGTTATATCATTCTTAAAAATGTTTATAAATGAAATATTTTAGTTTAATTTATAAAGATTTACAAGTATCCCTTGCTTAACATGGTTTGACTTAATGCAGGATTTGATTAACAAGCAAAATTAATTGCAGAAATCTCTTTTTAACAGCTGTCTTTACTTAACATAGATATGTTTTTCTCAGCAAATAAGGTGTGAATTTGCTATTTTTGTTTATTAAAATAAAAATATTTGTTATTAACCAAAAATTTGTTCTAGTGGATAATGATTGTTCAGTCAAGTACCGAGATACCTCTGTATTTGATTAATGTGATTTTGATTTATGTGGTAGCATTGAGGGATTAATTAACATTAACAGCATTAATCAAGGGATACTTGTATTTTATAAAAATACAATAATTGGAGGGTTTTGACTTAATTGAATTTTGTGAAAACTGAATTGTAGTTTTATTTTAAAATTCTTTTTAATTCTATAAAACAATGTTTGTCAATTTAAATAATCAAACAAATTTTTAATATTTTCCATTATAGTGTGTGTTCAAGAATTATTCACTCCATTAAGAAAATTGATAAAAATAAACCAGTAGAGATAAAAAGAAAAAGAAACTGATTGCTATAGCTTATGAACAACTCTAAAAAGTTTATTTTCACATTAGGTTCAGTACATTTGAACATGGGCACTGTTGGTAGTGTAATCGTCTTATCATCAGTATGTACTTGAATTCTCTCCATCTGTTTTGAATCATATTAACTGTAATGGCTGACAGGATCTGTGTAATCTGTGTCTTCAGTATATCTGGTTATATCTAAATTAATTAACAGTTATGGAAGTGGAGATTGGATGAAAGTCTGGAAAGTGTAATTGGCAACACATCTGCATGGTAAGAAGATGTTGTGGGTTCAAATCCCTCTCCAGGTAAATTCTTTTCTTCCAGAATATTCAAATTAAAATATTAATTTAATTCAATTGTAATTATTAAATTTATCATGAGGTGGCAGCTTAATCTCCTATCTCTAGCCAAATTGATTTTGTATCTAATTAGTTATTAGTCTTTACGTAGTCCAATAGATGATCTGGCAGATCATTTGGCAATATTTTTTCCCATCATTTTTAGATATTACATATATTGTATATTCAGTAAGGTATTTTGCAAATGTAACTGTTTGAAATTTTACATTAAACATATATTTTCAGCATTTTGCTTTTCAATATTTCACTTACTATAATATAATTTCTCTTAAAAATCAAAAAATATATTTTTATTTTTAAATAAAATTTTTCCCTCAAAATTATAACTTAGTTCAGAGGTATAAAAAGAACATGTTTAAGTAAGGATTAAGTTTTAGAAAACATTTTAAACATTTAAACATTTATGTTTAAAATGTTTAAAATATATTTTCAATTAATTACATTTNAAGACTATTGTATCGTTAAAAATTATTTCTTTATTTTGTACAAACAAAATAAATATATTGAAAAATATAAAAACAAAAAAATTATACTTTAGAAGCTAATCTAGTATCAAAAACGTTCGATTCAGCATGACACACTGTTCTCAGAAAAACACCACACAAAAGTGTCAGTACTGTCAGCTAAAAAGCACACATCAAGAAAAAAATATTGGAGTAGCCCAAGATATAGCCAAAGATTGCAGCGCCACAGCACTAGCGAAAATTTAAATTTGCCGACTGGAATTCTTTCGGATAACCGATTTTCGAATAAACGACGCTTTACTCTATTTTAAAATACAATTTAATTCGAAATACTAAAATATTTTAGTTTAATTTATAAAGATTTACAAGTATCCCTTGCTTAACATGGTTTGACTTAATGCAGGATTTGATTAACAAGCAAAATTAATTGCAGAAATCTCTTTTTAACAGCTGTCTTTACTTAACATAGATATGTTTTTCTCAGCAAATAAGGTGTGAATTTGCTATTTTTGTTTATTAAAATAAAAATATTTGTTATTAACCAAAAATTTGTTCTAGTGGATAATGATTGTTCAGTCAAGTACCGAGATACCTCTGTATTTGATTAATGTGATTTTGATTTATGTGGTAGCATTGAGGGATTAATTAACATTAACAGCATTAATCAAGGGATACTTGTATTTTATAAAAATACAATAATTGGAGGGTTTTGACTTAATTGAAATTCCGTGAAAACTGAAAGAAACCTGAATTGTAGTTTTATTTTAAAATTCTTTTTAATTCTATAAAACAATGTTTGTCAATTTAAATAATCAAACAAATTTTTAATATTTTCCATTATAGTGTGTGTTCAAGAATTATTCACTCCATTAAGAAAATTGATAAAAATAAACCAGTAGAGATAAAAAGAAAAAGAAACTGATTGCTATAGCTTATGAACAACTCTAAAAAGTTTATTTTCACATTAGGTTCAGTACATTTGAACATGGGCACTGTTGGTAGTGTAATCGTCTTATCATCAGTATGTACTTGAATTCTCTCCATCTGTTTTGAATCATATTAACTGTAATGGCTGACAGGATCTGTGTAATCTGTGTCTTCAGTATATCTGGTTATATCTAAATTAATTAACAGTTATGGAAGTGGAGATTGGATGAAAGTCTGGAAAGTGTAATTGGCAACACATCTGCATGGTAAGAAGATGTTGTGGGTTCAAATCCCTCTCCAGGTAAATTCTTTTCTTCCAGAATATTCAAATTAAAATATTAATTTAATTCAATTGTAATTATTAAATTTATCATGAGGTGGCAGCTTAATCTCCTATCTCTAGCCAAATTGATTTTGTATCTAATTAGTTATTAGTCTTTACGTAGTCCAATAGATGATCTGGCAGATCATTTGGCAATATTTTTTCCCATCATTTTTAGATATTACATATATTGTATATTCAGTAAGGTATTTTGCAAATGTAACTGTTTGAAATTTTACATTAAACATATATTTTCAGCATTTTGCTTTTCAATATTTCACTTACTATAATATAATTTCTCTTAAAAATCAAAAAATATATTTTTATTTTTAAATAAAATTTTTCCCTCAAAATTATAACTTAGTTCAGAGGTATAAAAAGAACATGTTTAAGTAAGGATTAAGTTTTAGAAAACATTTTAAACATTTAAACATTTATGTTTAAAATGTTTAAAATATATTTTCAATTAATTACATTTAAAAATTATATTTAAAAATGTATTTTTAAACTCCAATATTTACTTTTAAATGGATCAGATAAAAGAGATGTTACTGTATTATAATTAAAAGAATCCTTGACCAGATGTACTGTGTGTAATTTGTTATTTTAATTAATTAATTAATCAAACTAATTGAAATAAAATAAAAAATGAATTAATACCCCATGTCCATAACAGCTGTGAGAGTGAAAATTCTCCACTCCAAAATAAAATTCTGTAAGGAAAACATATCAATTTCCAGTAATGTAGTTTCCATCTATTGAAGATAAATGTTTTAACAGTAAAATATTTATCCAAAAAATATATTCTGTTAACAATGTTACCAAGGCAAAAGGATTTAAAATTAAATTGAAAATTAATAATGTGTAAGAAAGGATTATGATTATTTATTAAAATGTATATAGTAATAAAAATTATTAATGTGGTATAAAATGGGAAAGAAGTGTTTAAAACTATTCAATTTTTTCAATTGCCTTTTAATATTAAAGATAAGTAAACTTTCATATGCTTAAAGGGATCCAAATAATTTATGTAATTATTTAACATATTAGATATTCAAATTTATTGCATATAATTAAGTAATGGCACAAACCAATATTATTATACTTAAAATGTTATTTTGTTAACTTATAATTTTGCAATAACAGTGATGAATAAAGCATAGTAATTATTATTATTCTATTCAATAAGTATATAAAATAATTGTAAATTATTTAAAAATTATCAGAAAACTTAAAGATAATATTTATGACTGCTATAATTATTAATAGTAAAAATAATATACTTTATACTTCAAAAATATTTATTATATATTCTTAAAAATTTATAAAAAAATTTTATATTGTAAAATTATTATTAATAAACAAAAATATAAAAAACTGTCTATTGGTGTTACTGGTAAATACATTTAATTAACGAGTATGGACATTTTCAATACCATATAACTGTCTTCTTCAGATAATATGGTGGATGGAATGTTCTATTCATCATATTACCTGAAGATGATGGTTATACTGTCAAAAGTGCTCATAATCATTAATTAAATGTATTTACCAGTAACTCCAATAGACAGTTTTTATGAAAGATATTTAATACAGATATACTTTATTACGCATATGTAAAATATTATTACAATGNAAATATTCAAAAAAAAAGATATTTATTTAAAAAAGTCAAAATATAATTTTATTACCTAGTTTTATTAACTTCATGAGTTAAATCCCAACCCCATGTTACAAAATTTTGCGTGAGATATGTCACAATAGTTTCTGAGCAGAGTAGTTGAGTACAAAATACATTTGTTAGAACACTGGAATCATGGTGAAGATATATTATCAGAGGCTTTCTCTAGAAATGATAAAATAAAGAATTTCATTGAAATTCAAAGTTAAAATGATAATAAAAATAATAAAAACTTACTTTTCCTGGCCAAAATTTATTTGGTCTTGGGAATCCAGTCAAAAATATGGGCAGTGTAAATAATGATACCATTGGAGATGATAAAACTATTGATAATGTAATGAAAATCAAAATGACTGGTAGAAACACAATATCCAATACTGAAATAAAAATAATAAAAACAAAATTAGATGTATATCATACAGCTTAATGAATATATAAATTACAATCTTTAGACATCAGTATATTGAATAATATAAGCTATGGAAATTGCTTCTTGAAGGATTACGAATAGCTTTGTTTTATCCCTATACAGATATAGATGGATATAAATAATGTCTGAAGTTAAAAGTTCTAAAACATAATGGACATTGTCAGGAGCTATTGCTGTATTTTTAGTGTGATTTAGTTCTTTTTCTAGCTCCTGTATTGTAAATGTCTAATGTAGGAATCAATTAATATAAAACTAAATTACAATGATTGTTCTGCTTGAAGTTTTACATTTTGAAATAACTGTTGATAATTTGCTATATTTGAGCTAGAAGCAAATCTTTCTTCTAAGCAATCTGTAACTGATGATGTCTTATAATATTCAAATTTATTGTGAGTATTGATGTCTATTGATTGATTGGATTAACTTTTATGACACAGATACCTTTCTAAAAATTTCTTGAGAGTTTTGGTATTTAATTATGGAGATGATAAAACAAGCCCAGAAAGCCTGTTTGTATTATTTGAGCATATGGTTTAGCATGTTTGAATAGGATGTAATGTTCATTTGAGTGGCATTAAATGTGTTCCATATTCAATCTCAATTGCAGTAAACTATGGTGAAATTCAAGCTCCACAAAGATACAGTTTTAAAGTTAGTTTGTTGTACAATATGGAATTAAAAAATAATAATTCTGTACAGGTATTGTAAAATTATTATTAATAAACAAAAATATAAAAAACTGTCTATTGGTGTTACTGGTAAATACATTTAATTAACGAGTATGGACATTTTCAATACCATATAACTGTCTTCTTCAGATAATATGGTGGATGGAATGTTCTATTCATCATATTACCTGAAGATGATGGTTATACTGTCAAAAGTGCTCATAATCATTAATTAAATGTATTTACCAGTAACTCCAATAGACAGTTTTTATGAAAGATATTTAATACAGATATACTTTATTACGCATATGTAAAATATTATTACAATGAAAGTTATAACACATGGGTTAATTGACAAATTTTATATTTTTGTTTTATTTTAAAAAGTGATGTTGCTTGTTGTTTTTATATCATTAAAATTATTATTATTCTAAACATAAATATGTCATGCAGTAAAACTAAATTTATACAGAGTGATAATTGAAAAGCCACAAACATCAAAATATCAGTTTGTGTAAATTGTGTCAAGTTATTTTTTATTACGTCTCCTATCTCCTACCACATGATGATACTATACTGACTGCTGACTCTTAATAGAAACTGTAAATTTTCTGTGAAAGTTATAAAATCGCTGCTGTGTAGCTTTTTTATTGAGAAAGTGAAATGGTTTTTTCCAGGAACAACTGCTTTTCATTGTTGTGCATTATTTTCTCAGTCGCTCTTATGTGACTGGAAACAACTTATGACTGTTAGCAAACCATTTCACTAGACAAATACATAGTAGCGAATAAGTAAATACAAACTATTAGGAATTTATAAAATTCCTATTATTTCTAATAAATATTGTATGTTAAAAGTAAATCCTAACTATCAAAAATAAATTTTAAAATTTTTCTTTTATTTACTCAGGTATTATCATAAGATAATTTAAAAAAAAAAATTTTTTTATATGTAACTGCATATCAAAAGAGCTATTGTGAATTTGCAACACTTCAGAGCAATACATATATAACTGTGTGTTTAAAAAAACAGCAATTTTTTACATTTTCAATATTAATATTAGTATTACATTTAACTGTCAAATTTTTAAAATTATTTACTATCGATTAGAAAAGTTCATAGTGCCCTTTCTTGCATTTAATATCCAGAGACATATAATTGGAGCAGCAGAGAGGGGCATATCATATTCAAAATCTTTTCTAAAAGTTTCTAAAAATTTTATGTGATTATGTGATATTTTGAAATATACTCAAAATTTCAAAAATAAAAGAGTTTATTTTAATATTTGATTTAGTTTTGGAAAATAATTTGATTAGTTTATTTAACTGATAAAAATATAAAATACTAAATCATACATTATTTATGTTCAAATAACATTTAAAAATATGTATGTTTTTACATACAGTTAATAATAACAATTAATGGTTAAATTAATAAATTTAATTATATTTAAGGATAATAACAATAATTTAGAGCAATATGATAATAAAAATAATAAAAACTTACTTTTCCTGGCCAAAATTTATTTGGTCTTGGGAATCCAGTCAAAAATATGGGCAGTGTAAATAATGATACCATTGGAGATGATAAAACTATTGATAATGTAATGAAAATCAAAATGACTGGTAGAAACACAATATCCAATACTGAAATAAAAATAATAAAAACAAAATTAGATGTATATCATACAGCTTAATGAATATATAAATTACAATCTTTAGACATCAGTATATTGAATAATATAAGCTATGGAAATTGCTTCTTGAAGGATTACGAATAGCTTTGTTTTATCCCTANGCTCTCGGTTAATTAATAGTGTTTTTAGTGATGACGAAGAAAACATTGTTTAATTTATATTAATATGTATCACTTAAAAAATTTTAATGAAGATATTTATCTTAATTATGAAAATATACTAGCATGTTTTTTAATTTTTGGAACCTAACCCTCCTTTTCGTATTAGTTCTTTGTTTCGTATAACACGGATTCGCATAACACGGCAACTTTTTGGAATGTAACTACCGTGTTATACGGGGGTTACCTGTATTTGGAAACAGCTAAGGGATGTATTTCTTGTGTTTTTGCCAGTGATGAAAATCCATAGTAGCCCAATTTTACATTTTTTAGTGAAAGTTTAATTTAAGTGTTTAAAATTGATATTTTAACATTGTAACTGTTATATGTATTTTTTATTTTTAGGATTTTTTTTGTTTCAATTGTGACTAATAGTAATCATCTTACATGTTTTATAATTTAATTCAATTTTATAAAATAGAAATTTTTTTAATAATAATAGAATTATTTTTCAGTATTAATAATATCAATGCACCAAACAAAGATATAATCAGAATTACAAATAAGATTTCTTTTATTTGATTTAATTTAAAAATTTGAAGAATGATTATATACATTTCAAATCAATTTTATATGAGATATCCAAACTATGTACATTAAAATATTATAATTAAATTTATTAATATAACAAAACAATAATATAATATAGATTATCATACAGTTACAAATGCTCACCTAAAAGTAACCAACTGTGTTCCATTCTTTGTTTCTTGTTAGCAATAGAAGTAAATGATATAATTAAAATAACATATAATTTCTTCCACAGGTCTACTAATCTATCTCGAGCAATCCCAATAATAAGCAAATCAACAACAAAAGGAATCGAAAGATCTGACATTATATTTGTACATTCTTTAACTATATACATCAACGAGATATCCAGACAAAAATTTTCTGTATGCTGCCAAGTCTGAAATTAATTTCAATATGAAGCAATAATTAAAGCAATAATAGGATACATATATATTAACTCTACATGTGTAAAATATGTAACACAAAGAATTGAGTCAATTGAGACACAAATAAAGTTTTATCAATAATGTTTAAAATAAGTGATATGTTTATTCTTACTAAACGAAATGCTCGAACAGTAGATAATGATGTCAGCAAGCATTTTCCTTCAGATCTATCAAGCTGACCAAAAACTGACAGAATAAATATCATCAGAAAAGGTGTTACTATAAGAAAAAATTAATATAAATATTTAAATTTAATTTTTAAAATAAAAATTACAAAAATAAAACTTACAGATCTTAAGTGAAATTCTTAAATAGCGAAGAGATAGAAATTTTTTTTTCTTTTCTCGAAATAAGTCAACATTCTGAATGTTTGGTGGATAAAATTTATTTTTGATCATTCCTCCAAATATATATATCCTTTGTAACTGACCCAATAACCAAACAATAATGAGTGTTGCTATAGTTACAATACTACAAATTCTCCAAAGTTCAGACTGATGCTGGTTTATGTCAAGTTGATTACAACCCCATACTTCTAATCCAGTGACTAGAATCATAATTATATGAAAAACAAATGGTTTAAATTTGTATGATGATGAAGCTTTTTGATTATTTACATTTTTCTTGGAAAAATTTGAATAAAGTCTTTTCAAGTGCTGACCACAAATTGATTCTAAAAAAAAAATTTAATAACAAATTTAATTTATATCAAATAAGTAATACAATATCTTGTTTTCATTAATAATCTTAACTGTTAATAAAATTTTTACCTAAATCAAGACTAAGAATATAGCATGAACAAGAGGCAACAATAGATATAACAGTCCAATTTTGCAGAAAATAAATAACCAGCATCAAACCTATTGATATTCCAAGGCTAAATGTTAACCTAGAATAAAAAATAAAATAGTATAAATTATATTATAAAAATATTAAAGATTTAAAAAAATTGTTTTATTAAATTACACACCACCAATCTGAAGGAACTGTTGATCCACCTAATCCAACACAAAGTAATTGCTCTTCAGCCCATAACAATAAAGCATCTTGAGGAGGTAATGTTCCTAACAACCAAAGCAATGGCAATAATACAAAAATGATGTGCAGATATCCATCTATTTCTTTCCATGATTCATATTTCCTTTAAAAGTAAATTAATATTTAGAATTTTTATGTTTCATTTTAATTCTTTTTCATTATATTCTTGTAGTTTTTAATTATAATTTAAAAGACTAACTTTTGTTCATGCATAGAAATGAAAACTTACAGTAATATCCAAGTAAAAAGTTATACATTTATACATAAGTATAATCAAATTATTTGTCTAAGCCACAACTTACCCTAGTAGAAATGTCAACTGATATTGTTTAAAATATTATCAACTGATATCACTTAATATGAATTGCTTTGAATTGAATATTCATTCAAAGCAGTTCATATTAATCATTTTAAATATTGCCAACTAGTATCATTTAATGTGAGTGGTTTTAAATATTTTGGATTATGAAACTGAAATAAAATTTTCTGTTTAGCTTTTCTCTTCTAGAGATAAAGATGCAATCAAAAATATAAAGTTATGTTGAATTGGAGCATTGGAGTTTTCTAGTAAATCAATAATGGATCATTGCAAAGGTGCAAGAAGCATGTGCTTGGATCCTGAAAGTTAAAAGCTTCAAAGAAATATATTCTGTGAACTTCAGGTACAGATATCTTCATCTACATATTTACAGATTTGTTTTTAAGGAAATGATTGAATGATCAGTATTTTTCTTATTAAGTAATAAATTGATTTGATAATATTATTTAGTACTTAGAACACAGGGACCTCAAAACTAGGTTGCACTTGGGCCCTCCAAATGCTTGATGTACCACTGCAGTAAATATCCAGGCTAATTTTATTTGAAATAAATTACTTGAACCAAGTTACTACATTTATTTCAACGATGGCCAATAGAAAAAGTTCCCAGTAGTAGTAAGAGACTATGTTGAAAAGACAGCATTTGTAATTTCTTTCTATGTATATTTGTGTAGCAATAAAATCAGTTGGATATTTACTGATCAACCATTGTACCTGATAGTGATGACAATATAAAAGTTAAATAATAATTCATAATTTTAAATCATTCATGTAATTATGATCCATTCATTACCATTGTAAAAATCATCTTCTATCATCTTCAATAGACAGAAATAACTTAATTCTCTAAGAATTCTTCAAATTTTAGGTTGAAGAATGAATTAGCAAAAAAGCAATTATTGTACTAAGAATGTATTACTGAATTTAAATTATGACACTTTCATGATATACTGGACTCTCTGCAACAGATTAACAATATGTAGTATGCAATAATCCACTGTAATTCATTAACTTTTATATGTAATTCCTTGAAGGAGACAGAAGAAATAATTGAAAGCCTTTGATTTATAATTTTCCATTTTTATTTATTTTTTTTGGACACTATATATTTTATTATCAGTGTAATGAATTTGAATGAAAGTATTTTAATTCTTTTAACTTAAACAGGAATTAACAAATAATTAATAAACTTAAAACTGGGAAATAACATAAAACTTGAATGTGCTGGGACTTGAAAGTTTTAAAACATTAATATATAAAATTTATGAAATTAATTATTTAACTTACCAAGAAACATAATGAACTGTAAACATGCAACAAACATAGAATGGTCGAAAGGTTGTTTTCATGAAATGATGTTTTTCATTATTATATATGGCAGGTTCTGACGGATTAACAACTGTCAATGAATATTGACTAATACAAATTGTTAGCCATCCAAATACATGTAATACAATAGCTGTTAACTTATTGCTCCACCATTCTTTTAATGTAGGAATATAGAAATATTCCAAACCTGTAGCACATACCACTGCAGAAATTAAGCTGTAGCATATTATATAGAACCAAGTATTTTTTCTTGCAAAAATAAACTGGTATGTTTCAATTCCACAGCAAGATGAAAATTCTACTTCATCATCTTCAAGTAAATGGTTAGTTTTGTTAATCTTAGAAACAACAGAGGTTTCTCTTTGAGCAAAGTAATTAAGGAATTGTATCAACAGAACTAATGCCCCTATTACTGAACCATATATATACATAGCAATTGTAATATTTACTTCTTCATTGTCAACAAATGGTGTAATTAATTCAGCTAAAATCCATGGTATTAAAAACAATACAATATGAATTATATATATATATACAGGAGCCTTGAACCCTAATTTAATTTTTGGCCCACCTAAAAATGTTTGCAACAGACGTCGAACAATGAATGGTCTTTTATATTCACTGATTAATGGAGTACTCATTCTAATTGTAAAACAATCATTTTTTTCTTTTTAAAAAAGATAATTCAAGTAAAGTAAAAATAATAAAAATCTGTTATTTCTTTTTTCAGCATTATAAAATATATCCTGAAAAAAAGAAAAAAATACATGTTATTAAAATTTTTTAAAATAAATTAAAAAAAAAAACAGATTTTTTTAAAAAATTATATTCAATATAATATTTTTATATACATATATTAGGAATATATTTATTTTCAAATGAATTTTTAATCACAATAAATGTTTTTCATGTTTTTGAACATTTGTAAAAATACTAAATTCTATTTATATAAAATCACCTCAATTTACTCAATTAAATATTTCTGATAAAATGATAAGCAAAAAAGATAATAATTTGTTTACTATTTCATCTTTTTGAAAAAAATTTAAGTTAAACCACTTTGTGAATCTTTTCTTCCACAATTCACTAATTCATTTAGAAAATGTTAAAGAATTTCTATCAATCATGAACAATTTGCATTTGAACAAGATAACTATTATTATATACACTCACTGACAAAAAGTTATGCACAAAGAAGGAATCATTGGAATTAAATGAATCTTTATTAATGCAGACATAATAATGATGACAATAAGTATTTACAATATCTTGGAAAAGAAACAACTTCCTGTAAAACAATGGTACAATTTAAAGAAACTTTAATACCTTGTAGGACATCCTCTTGCCTGATAGTGATATGGTCAGGAATGAAGGCACACAGATACTGCATACTATCCTGCAACATATTTGCCCATTCAATGTTGCAATTGATATTTCAGATCCCTCACATTCATAGTCAAAGCTGGAGATTCATCTGGTCCCACAATTGCTTGATAGGCAACAAAACTGGAGATGGGGCAGGCCAAAGACATAGTAATATGATGGAAACAATTCTGGAACACCCTATTTGTATGTGGCTGAACATTATCTTTCTTGAAAGTGGCTGTTTGCAACTTTCCCATAAAAGGCAACAAATACTTTAGGATTTTCTGAATGTATCACTGTGCCATCATTGTCCCATATACCACTACTAAGAGTGACTGACTGTGTCATACAAGATGTGATGATCAACAGTGAAAATGGGATTAAAGTGCTCATCAATGGTCCTCCACACTAAAACATGGTGGTTATCCATTCTCAACCAAGATTTGTCACTAAAGATGGCATGCTACCAGTCTGTAGCAGTCCATACTTCTATGTCTTATTTCTTAGCACCACTTCAAAGAATCCGATGATGTTGGGATGCTATCAGGGCACATAGCAGTCACTGCAGATTCAAATTTGCCTCTACTATTTGCCCATTGATGGTACAAAAAGAAATAGGGTTTTATAAGCAAAGCTTCCACATATCTGTTTAAGGTAGACGATGATGCTATTGTCTGTGCTTGCCTCATGAGCAGATGATCATCTCTCCCAATAGTCTGTCTGGAGTGTCCAAAGCCTAACCACTGTGTATGTGTGCTCTGACATATTTACAGCTCCCAACATCTTGTCAGTCAGCTCAAAACAGCTCAGATAGAAGGAAATTCAACAAAAACAGCCATTCTGCTTCCTTCAGCCCAATGAGCAGCCTTTTTCAAATTCCATCAACTATGTATAATATTTTTGACTGCATCATATAGGCAAGTCTGGTGTGCAATTGGATCACAACTGTAATCATTTACACAGGCATTTGAGACAGCTGTATGCTGAGTTTTGTAGTAATTTTACAATTCTAATTAAAACTTTAACAAAACAATGAAAGAAATTTTTTCTTTAAAAAAACAAAATTATTACCTAAATCCTACTTCTTTATCACAATGGATTTTAGATTTTAACACTAGTTTTCAATATGTTACAACTGCCATATATATTGTTGAACAACAGTATTAATGTTTTAATTATAGAATTATGACAGTATTTACCTCTTAAGGTTGGTTTCATCAATCTTTGTTAAAATATCATTTAATACATCATTTTAGAATAACTCATTAAAAGAATTAATGTTTCATTAGGAAGTTCCATTTCACCAACACTAACTCAATTTCTTCATTTCATAATGGCTTTCTGATGATGTATCAGAAGATATGATTGGTCCCTTAAAAATTTTGTCATAGATCTTTGACATCAAACATCTTCTGTTAGTAGCTAAATGTATGCAATGCGACTGAATCAAAATAAAATGAATAAAAACTTCAAATTATACAAAGGTAGAGTGTTTTTAATGATTTGATTCAAAAATATAAAACTATAACTGTAAATATATGAACTGATTAGTGTTACCATCCGTCTGGTTTTCACCTGGACAGTCTGGGAATTGACTCACTAGAGAGGTTGAGGCAGACGTTTTAAACGTGTAAATGTGTAGGTCGGACATTCGGCGCCGCTTTCCCGTAAGCCTAAAAGTTTGACAATGGTGTTTGGATAGTTGGTGGAATCACGCTCGACATTCCAAACACCATCGTCAAACTTCTAGGCTTACGGGAAAGCGGCACCGAACGTCCGTCCTACACGTTTACACGTTTAAAACGTCTGCCTCAACCTCTCTACTGTCTGGGTGAACTATTAATTTTGTCTGGGAATATCATGCGCAACCTGTCAACCTTTTTTTCTTTTTATTGCTTGTAGGATTTGTATTCATACACATCTCCAATATTTAATAGAGCTAAATCATCTGTAGTTGTTCTTTCTTAATTTAGGTTACTTACGTTACTCCTATCCAAGTCTCCCTAGTCCCTAACTGTAACTGATTTAGAACCGGCATGCACTGCACGTTATTCTTCGCATTGCAAAATGACATTATGCATGCGTCAGGAACTTCTGTTCGAACAAACCTCACCTGCCATCCGGGTCAGTGATTTTGAAAAGTTGGCAACACTAGAACTGATTGTATCAAAATTAAATGAAAAAATGGGAAACTTGTTTATAACTCAAATGTATATGTAATAAAAGATGGATGGTTATATTGCTTTAATTAATTAATTAATGATTCTAAAAGTTAAAAATTACTCTGTATGAATGATAAATAGTTTTACAAAGTCCTAAATTTTCAACATACTCAATATACATATGGTGACCATATTTTTTGGAGGAAAATAAAGGACATATCAAAGAAAGAAAATAAAAAAAAATACCTTATAAAATTCACAAGTTTATACACTATCCGGAACCTGTAACCGGTGTGTGATGCACGTATTCCGTATATCGCTGTTGACAAACGTTTTCGAGCAATCTCTTTGCTCTTCTTCAGGTCAACTGGAATTCCCTGGACAGAGTGTATTCTATTTGTTGGAATCAGGTGTCATTCCGATGAAGTGGGTCCTTTCTGACATGCGCGGTCGTGCGGTGGAGGAGGAAGTTGCGGGTTGGCATCCAACAGTGATTGCCAGGCAGAGTCAGCTCTTCCTTCTGGTTAACGCACGTGGTTAGCTGGCCGGCGTTGTAGATAGCTGTGGCCTCTAGCCACCTGAGATGCTCTTGGTGGGGCATGTTGATGATAACAGTAGCTTTATCAAACTTCAACTTTGTATGGGGGTAACTTGTTCAATATATTATTAAAAATTTTTTTAAACTTTGTGTCAAATTTACAAAATAAAGGACAAAATGCCTATTTTATAAAATAATTAAAGTTAGAGGACAGAGCAGCGAAATAAAGGACTGTCCTCTTAAATAAAGGACGTATGGTCACTGTAAATATACAACAGTTCTACATTAAACTCATAGTAATCCATCTTGATTTTAACTTGAACAGTTAGAAATGTTAACACCTTAAAATTAGATCTTTAACAAGTTAAGCATTTTATTTGCATTAACAAAATTTGTTGAAATAATTTCAATTGTTAAACAAACTTAACAGCTTATTATATTTGTTAACTTGGACTTAAATTATTAATAGGACTGTTAAACTGGTGTTAAGAAATAATGCAAAGTTGAGCTGAAGTTCTTAAAGAAACCAGACTTTCTTTAAAAACTTCAGCTCAATTTTGCATTATTACTTAACACCAGTTTAACAGTCCTATTAATAATTTAAGTCCAAGTTGACAAATAAAATAAGAATTGAAATAAGGACAATAAGGCAATAAAAATTAAACTTAACACCTATTTAACTAAGGTTTAACATCTATGAAATTTTAAAGCAGGTTGGTAAAACTAGCTAACAGTGGTACATTGTACTTTGAACAACTCTACCTTCAAATGTATCAGAATTTGAACACTAACTTTGACAGAAATTTGCTCTGGAGTTAGAATGATGCTTCTACATTCAAACTTTGTGCACAGTGAAAAAATGCACTCCCATGCAACTGTCATCTGTTGTGCAATGAAGTTGTCTCTCACTCTCATGTTATGCCTGTATGTTTTCAGTGATATTTCATTTTATTTTTGGTGTGTTTAGTTAAATATATATTGCATATTATCTGTTAATTTTTAACAATTTCTTCCTGCAATTTTTCTTCAACAGCTTTTGGGTGCCTGATCTGTTTTGTATCTTTTAGTTCAAAATTTACAGAACAGAACTTTTTAATCCACATTTTACATGTTTGAAGTTTAGGAATATCTTCCTCATGCACATTAAATATTTTTTCCCTGTTTGTATTTATGGCATTGTATCCTTTCTAAAACTCATAAAGCATAATATGCCTGATTTGTCTTTTTTTTTTAATCTGAAGCCATTTCAACTTGATTCTATTCAAACAAAATGTGAAGTAAAAAGTTTAAAATAAACTTCTAAACAAAGAATGCAATCTCACATTAACAATAATATATTAAATTTTATGGCTGTTTTAATTAAATCACACATTTGTGTTAAGTAATGACAGCTGTTAAAAATATGCAAAAACTTTCCGTTCAATCCAATATAACCTTTGCTTATTAACCATGGTATCCAAGAAGTATGTGAAAGCAATAATATAATGAAGCCTAAGGAAAAGGTTGTAATATCGATGATTGACATGAAAAAGGAACTTATTGTAAAGTTTAAAAGCAGTGCATGCGTGGCAGATCTGGCAGCCACATGTATATGCCAGATCAATCACCAAAGGGAAGATTTTTAATGTTTTATATATTGAGGAGGATGAGAAATCCCTAAAAAAAGTCACTACCATGAGAT